TCCTCTGCAATTCCATGCTCACTCAGATGTGAAATTGCTACATACCTCTTAGGGAGTGTGTTTATTAATAACAACCTACCTTTCCTTGTCATCAGCACTCTGTATCTGGCACAGATCTCTAGTAGTTTGTCCACTGGAAAACGGCCTTTTGTAGATTTCGTGACATCTGCCTGGTATAGTTACTTCAAGCACTGATTCTCCCAAATCTATTTTCCCGTAGTTCCTGTGAATCCTTGCATTGTCAACTAATATGACTTTTCTTACTTTTATGATTTTTTTTTTTTTTTTAAGTATATAACACTTTATGGAACAGTTACATAGTAATACATTGGGGAATGGGTACTGGATGAAAAAAGATTCCTTGGCACAAGCTGTATTTTAAAGATACAATAACTTCAGTTCTTGCTTGCTCACTTCTTGGAAACATCCCTGAGACAGTGGTCTATGTCCCTGGCATTGAAGGTGGGATACTCCCCACCCCCTCCTACCTCTCATTTCCTTGCAAGCCTTCTTTCCTGACCACTTTTCCTGACCACTTCAATTTTAGGAACAGAGATCAGCACATATGATGGTCATTCTACCCACACCCATTCATCTCATTCACTTGACTGTTGTTAGAAAATGCAAATATACCCAAGATAAAGTTTCCTTCTTCTTGGGATCTTCTCTAAGTTTTCACAAGATTCCTTTTAATCATATATCCTAAGGAATGATCACTATACCTTCATCTTATTAAGGTTTCACAGACCGGAGAGACAACAGCTCTAGCATTTTATAATGTTCATCTCCTCTCTACTTATGATCACCTTGGCAACTTGCGGTCATTGTGTGTGCCATTCTTCCTTTGAGGAGGAAGAAACTCCTTAAAGAGCATCTCTAGCAGGTGAAGTTGAGTCTTTAGTGTCTTGAATCTCATTCTTTGTTTAATAGAGAATTAAAGAGAACCTGGAATTGTAAAGAAGACTGTGCCCTTTTGTGCTCACTCACCAGATAAGAGAAAAACTAAGAACTATGTGTGTCTCCATCCCTTGAACATTATCAGTAGAACTGATACTCTATTTAATGGGAAAGGGGAGTTTTCCACTTTGGGTTGAAATCTTGTGATTGAATTCAAGAAAATGAAAGCCCAGGTACAGATGCAAGCCCTCTGACATCAACTCTGATGAACGACGTGTATTTCCATTACAGTCTATGCAGCATGAGAACTTGGGAAGCAAACGAGAATTGGACCATGTAATTTTTTTCCAGTCTCTTTTCAGGTCTTTTATAACTCTGCTGCTTTCAAAAGCAGCCTTATTCATTTCTTCGGTTTATCTGTATGATTCAGTTCCTAGACCTTGTTTGTGGTTCCTTATGCAAAATTCAACACCGTTGCTAATTTTGTGGCCCCTGTGTTTGTACTTCAATTACTCATCAAATACTTTTTTGCATCATTCTTATAAAACATTTTCAAAGGGCAGAATTAATATTTCATCAGTACATTCAACTGCTGCTAACGTTACTGATCAGGAACATTTGTTTTAATTCAGACTGTGTGATTGTGGTCAATGTGGACTTAATCCAAAGCCTGCTGACTAGAAAATGCCAGAGAACTTCAGCAGTCTTTGACTCAGATGCTTTTTGAACACTTTAGGTGTATCTGACAGTCAAGACTGTTTTGATCTATAATGTATCTAATGTGTCTCACTCATAGGATATTAGAGAGCATTTAGTCTTTGGGAGAAAGGGAAAGTGAGTTCAAAAAACAAAAAGACTAAATTCTTGTTCATTACATATTATATTTGCAATGATTTTTTTTAATGGCATTAGTTACATTCCTGTATATACTGTTAGATTCAAAAAGTGAGCATCACCTAAATCATTTTGATACAGAAAGAGCACTTCTTGAATTCTGTCAAAATGTGATTATTTGAAAAAATATTATTTTCTTCCTTATTTTCAATTTAATTTTAAATTGAAGATCAGTGTGATTAGCTCAGGTAGCTAGTTTTAACGACAAGATTATCATTTTTTGTCACCAAAATCTAGTCATCTTGATTGATGGGAGTTGTAGAGGGGATGGCTAAAGGGGCAGAGGGTGTGAGAAGGCAGATAAAGTAGAAAAGTAGCCATTGAAAAGAAAACAAACCCTTAGCTAGGTGTAAGCAGTCTAAACTTTTGTGTTTAGGGAAAGAAAAGAGAGTTATGTGAACAAAGCAGTTGAATTTTAGAAATGTGTTGAGAGCAGTATAACGAGAGATCAGGAAATCAAGCCAAAAGGTATTTGACCTCAAAAAGTGCGGTTGCCTTAGTACGTATTAATATGTGTCAGATTTATGGAATGTTTTTTTGTCTTAATGATAAAAATTATATATTTTTATACTGAATATTGAAAATCTTCCAGCTTCAGATGCACTCAAAGCTCAGCAGAGATGGCTTTGGCTAACTGGTGGGAAAATCTTGTGATGTTGTCTTCCATTCAGTAGACTTCTGATGTCTTGAAAGGACATGTCTTTGATATTAAATATGTTATTTTTGAGATGTTACTGAATTGCAGTGATAACATAGAGGAATGCTTTAGAATGTGTCTTTCCACTATATTCCTAAAAAGGCACGAACCAAAATCTCTGTGAAGTGCTTTGAATAGATCTCTGTCTTTAAGGCCACAGCCGCATGCTTTTGGGGACCTTTCATGACTTCATGTATTCCTCATGAACAGTTGTAGCTCCACTGACTTTGGGACATTTGAAGGTTCTGTGCATGTAGTTAAGAAAAACTTCCAGGTTTGTAACCTAGGCATCTTCTGTAGGAATTTATGTACCTTCTTTGGTCCAGTTCATGTGAGCTTCTAGTGAGAGAAGTATGCTACATTTACCTGATCTCAGATCTGGATGGAAAGAGAGGCTGTTGTGTGTCGTATAATAATGTTCTCTACAGGAGGAAGATCTTTGTCTTCTTTCTTGTGTGATAAAAATGTATTTTATAATGTTTTTTAGATGCCCAGGTGTATTTTTGAGAGTTCTGTCCACACTGGCTATAGCAGTACTTCTGTTTGTCCTCAATATATGTAATCCTTCCAGGAAATTTTTAAGGAGGTATTAGCTTTGGGAAAATACTAGAAGATTTATTAATACAGTCGTGTCAAAACAGTTAATTGAATGCTTTCATCTCCGTGACTAATGAAAGATTATATTGCTGCAAAAATATGTCATAGGATTCTACAAATTGTAACTAAAAATAACAGCCTCATTAAATTTAAAGATACTTCAGTGCAGGAATTGTCTCACTGCAGAGAGCTTTGCAAATGCTTAAGGAAAGCACCACCACTGTACATTTTGGTGTTGTAAAGCATGGAGGCTGCTTCTGGCTAAATTCCTCACAGCTGGGACCAGAGCCTATTTTTCTGCTGGTGTAGCAGTAGGTTTTCTGTAGGAACAATGAATCAGTTGGGTTTTAGGAGATTTTTGCAAGAAAAATAATTGTGTATGTGCATCAGCTGATAGTGACTTCTCTGAGAGACCATGTTCTACATGTACTTGACTGTAATATTCCTTTCCTTAAGGTCTGTAGGGGTCAATATAACCTAAAGAAAAAATGGATACTGTAGGCATTCTTCAAAGGCATTGTGCACTCGTTACAGATCCGTGGCAGCGGTGCAACCACAGAAAAATCAGTCTAATGAATCAGCTCAATTCATTTGAGCTAGAAATCTGTCACCCTGCCATTGCCACTGGTAAATCCCATCACCTAACCCCAGTGCATTGCTTCTTCAGCCTTTCCATATTCCTCTTCATTTTGACAACTCTGCTTCTTCGTTGTCATTGTTCCTCATATTCTCATGTTTGTTGTGCCCAAAACTTGTTAGCCGTATTTGCTTCTTTCCTAAAAAAATGCCTCTTTACCATCTTTTTTCCCACAGAAATGTCTTTTGATGAAATACTTCAGGCTTAATTTTTGTAGCGTACTGAGCTGCGAGCTTTGCCACTGACTGAAATAACCATGAAGCAGATATTCTCTTTGTTTGTATGTGAAGAACTGAAGTGGATTGTAAATTTATTTCACTAGATCCAAGTTTCCTGAAATTGAGTTGCTGCCTTTGGAATTCCAGAGGGAGAATAGAGACAGAGCAGATATGGCTGTATGTATCTTCTCCAGACTATCAAAAAGAAAATCCTGTCATTTATGTGAATAATGTATAATACAGTAGATGCTTACGGCACTAGTTTAGGAAAAAAAAAAAAAAAAAAAGAGTACTTGTGATATGAAATAAATACAAAATTGATGGCATAAACCTATATTCTATGCTTAGCTGCTGCCTTAGTCTCTGATTCTAAGCTGCTTGCATGGTAACTAATTTCCATGGCAAGAGTGATTTCCAAGGCTGTTTATTCAATGTTGGTGTTATTGTTTTTTGGAAACTGACATTTCAATAATCAAGACATTTGCATGCATTTTAAGTGGAATTCCATTGTTTTCATTGGGCTTTTAAGGTGACTGTGACATAAAACTTTGATGATATGAAAAATAGATAGAAAAATCAGGGTGGAGGTAAGAAGGGAAACTCTTTTCTCTAATTCCATTCAGTTACTCTTTTCCAACATTACCTCGGTAGAGATTTCTGATGCATTTTTATTTGTATTTCCTTTGCAGCACTCTTGTTAAGGAAGATAAACAGTTAAACATTTTAGAACAATTGCCCAGGAAAAGCTCTTTACTGCTTTTTTGGAAGTACAAAAAAAAAAAGTACAAACTTAATTTCTATTTTTTAGTTGTCATTTACTTACTTCTTCTTACCTGTCTCCAAACCAATCAGTTTGATCAGTTGTTATGAGATGTATGATGAATAACTTTGTTTTCTCACAATAAATACGATTTTATCCCAGAAGTTACAACTAATTTTAGATCTGTTTGATCCCTCTGTAATTGTCATTCTGTGTCTAATTTTGAGTTGTCTCCCAGCTCAGATGTGACATTTCTGGAATTATGTTAATAGATACTGATTTTCTCAAATCCACCCACAGAGAGTTTTGCTTCCTCTGCGTGATGGACACAAATGTCTTCAGATCTGCTGATTCGGTAGAAGTGAACTTGGATCATCCAGGACCATGTTATTGGGGCTCCATCTTACAGTAGATGAGAACAGAATGGCAGTGGCATTATAAATTCTCTAGATTAGAAGCCAGGGAGAAGAAATTTTATAAGATATGATGTGATGTTTTGCTTTGGGCCAAAAACACAATGCATTCCCCAAAGAGAGAATGCATTTTTTCATACTGCTTCAAGATTCATGCAAATAAGAGTATTTTTAGTAGTTCTATTTTTACAGGGTCTTGCATAATAATGATGATTTATTTGGCATGAACATCACTGTGTAGACAATTAACAAAAAAAATCTCTTTTTGTGATTTGTAATCTCTGGAGGATAGGAACGAGGTCTTGATTATCACATTAGGTATTTTGATGAAGAATAGTGAACAAAGATTTCAAAACATAATAATCATGGTAGTTTGATATTTTTTGCATCATTACTTCCATGCTGGATTCTTACTGAAACTAAATCTCAGACCTTTCTGAGACATTTTTTCCAAGCAATTGCCACTGTTTTTAATCTCTGTATCTTTTTATGACCTCAAAAGTTACATTTCTCCATTGATCTACATCACCTTTGTCAGGCAAATACTAACTAAAACCATAATGCAAGAAACATAGATTTGCAAGGAACTGTGCAGTCTTCGTGAAAGCCGTGCTCCATATATTCATATCTAAGAATAAAGCCATCAAGCAAATGGGTAACGGCAGAGAAAACCATAATTTCTTGTTGAAAAATCAATGACTTGATTTTCCTGCATTTCATTCATGCAGTATTGTTCTGCTCACTTAATAGAGTCATTTACAGAAGATAAATTTCCCTGGGGTTTTTTTGATAGTATAGAGTATGAATGAGAAGAAGCTTCTCTCATATTCTGAAGATGAATGGAAATGAGTTAATGAAAACACATTTAAAAAGCCAGCAGTTGAAATTCTGTCTCCAGATTTCTGAGTGAGGCCCTTGGGACCTTCTGTGAGTTGTACTCAGAAACGGTTTCTTCTTTTCTGAGCATGTTCCATGAGTGTCTTCTGAATTTCTGTACCTCACAGTAAAGTACAGGACAGTATGTGGTTGAAGTGAAGGGTTGATATCACAGTATTGTATCTGAGAACTAATAACGTTTTATTGTTTTGCTTAGAGCTTTGCCTATTTCTTGCGTCTTATCTTGCTATAGTAATATTTAAGAATGGTAAACTAAAATTATTTCAAGTGGGAAGAGACCTATAAAAATCAAGTCCAGTTGCTCTGAAAAGTATTTGCCATTGCCAGCTGTAATTATTTCCGAAAATGTAGGTAGATATCGTGTATTCTGACAAATGCATTCAAGAGGTCTCTACCTTCAGATTTATTCTTTTTTTTTTTCTCTCCAAGCTTTTTCTACTACCCTTAACGAAATTAAAAGAAGTTACTCAAAGATGCTATAAAGTGCTGCTAAATTGATCCAACTTTGAGTAGTTGGTTGGACAAGACTTCCAGCCTGTATTATCCTATGCTTCTATGATTCCAGTATTCCTAATATATGATTATGATGCAGCTGATTAAATTATTCATTATTTAGTCTTAGCTCACTCTACTCTGGTCTAAAAAAAAATAAATAAATCAAGCATGCTAATACGAGGCTTAGTCCAGCTTTGAGAAGTCCATAAAAACACAGGTACTATTTGAGATGTATGTATTTATTTTCTTATGATCCAGTTTAGAAAAGAAAGAGGTGAACAGTCAAGCTACTTCCAAAACCAAATGCAGAACAGAGAAACAATTGCACAATGAAAGATTTCCTGTAATAATAATTCAAATCAGGACTGTAAGGCCCTCCTGTTTGCTGTTTGCCCAGATTAACTATGTTGTTTATTCATTGCTTAGAGTGAACGTAAACTTCAGCAAACCTAGTCCTGATGAATGTTCAGTTTACTGCAGTGTCCATCAGAGGAGCTCACCTGTGCATTCTGAATTACAATAATATTTTCTGGAAATCATGCCGAATAACAAGATTCTGTAGAAAGGAAAATAGTTTTGTTGTGGTTATTTATCGTTACTTAATGATAATAGTTATAATCATACATATTATTATTTATCACGTTTATCACATATTGAATTTTTGTGCATATTTTACCACTGAAATGATACATGCTTGGCAAATTTCCATTTATCATATATGGCTTGCACTCTGGTTGAAATTTGTATCTTATTTGTTCTAAATCAACTAAGGGATAAGCGAAACAACTTATAAGCTGTTTTTCTAATACTTTATGTTAACTCTAAAACTGTAGGTGTGAAGCCTGCCTGCTAACATCCAGCTGGTCAGTAATAATAATAATAATACAGAAATGTGGTGGATGAATTCAATTCTGACTTAGAAGGCTGTTGGAACACAAGAATCAAACTTTTTTGTGTGCATTTGTATATTACTGTATGAAGATTTCTTGGGTGCATGTTTCTCCCAGCACATGATCTGCATGTAAAATATAAGCATAACTTCATATTACCTAGAGTAAAAAAAATAAATAAAAAAAACGAGAGAAATAAGATGAGAACTAGAACATTGAATGACTGAAGTTTGTGTCTCCTGTGACTTTTGGTGAGAGAAATGTTGTTTTTGACAGTCTCCCATATTGTTTTCCCACACCTTGTGAGTCAGTAGGGATTTGCACCTCTTACTGAAAGGGCATCTTTACAGCTTTTAGTCTCAGCTGACTACAGAGGCTGTGATGCCTTTGTTATTTACCAACTGGAGCAACCTCCTTTCCATTTTGCATTTGGTTCTTTGTATAGGGAACCACTGTTTGGTTTGTCCCCTCAAATGCATTTGGTGCTTTTTGACAGCCTTGCATTGCAGGAACAAATGTTCTGAGAACATAACATGCATCATACAAGGTGAGAGTGGCTTTATATATATTCTCTTTTTCCTGTCAATCATTTTAATGTGATAGTAATGTTAAATCAGAGACAGCTATGCCATTTTTAAACCTGTGCTTCTTCTAAGTTTTATCAGAACATGCAGTGTCTACGCAGAAAGATAAAAATGAACTCATGTCAATTTTTAACCCTTTTCTATAATCTACTGATCAGTGGTTCTTTTGAGAGACTGCAGCATGTTGAAGGAGCAATGGCACAGGTTATATGATGGTTTCCTGATAGTGGAAACAAGGAGTCCTGCATCTGGTGGCAGTCTTAGCTGAGGAAAAGTGAAAGGATGGTGGAATAGAAATGATCATTTCTTAATCATTTCAGGGTTACTGTACACACTGTACTGTACACACCCTTATAATTTGTTTTTTGACCAAAGAAAAAGATCGTGTTCAAAAGATTTAACGATACTTTTCTAGTTCACTGGGATTATAATTATTCATAGGTCTTGAATATGTAGAAATCAGTGACTCTGATGTGCACCTAAAGTGCATTTATTGTGATAGTTGTTAGGTTTTCTGAAAACGGGAAGCAAAAATTGGAATAATAGAATTACCCTTACCTCTACTGCAATGAAACAGAATGGGCTTTTACCTAGACAGCCAGAGATGCATTTAGATAACCCACTCATATAGTTTCAGTATTCTGATAACCTGCTAACTAGTTTCAATTTATTATTTGACTCTTACATGGACTCATTCTTACGCTGTACTGGTGACAAATTCATTATTTGTGCTATTTACCAGCCTTCATGTGTCTATGGAAAACATACAGTTTTGCATTCTGATTGAATTTCTTTTACTTTTTAGTATACTTTGTACATGAGAACACAGGATCTTGGAGGATATGTAATGTTGCAAGAAATGAAAGACAGTCATTGTCTGACAGCTAAACATTTCCTACAGCTAAAAGGGGTTCATTACTGGGACAAAATGCTTCATTTCCCAGTAGGTCTGACTGAATACATGGTTCAAAGAATTTTTAGGATGAGTCACTCAGACTGTTAATCTGCTATTAACTCATCTGGAAAGCCACAGTGAGTAGTTGAGATTTTCAGTTGTTTATGATACTGATATTGAGCAGTGTGCAAAAGCCTAATTGCTTTTAATTGAGCAGCAGAAAAATAACCATTCCCTTTCAGTTTAAAATACCCTTTTGGGCCAAAGACAATCAGAAATCTAAAATTCTGTGTATGACAAATTTTCTTCTATCTTTTGATAGAAGAAACCTTTTTCTGTTGGCAAACTCAACAGCTTGCCAAAACAGATGGTTTGGGTTTCTCTTTATTCTTCTCCTGTGAATTACGTTTCTGAACTCAGAGTGTGCATAGTTTTGTCATAGTATTTACAGAACTAAGTCACTGGGGCAGTATTTTTGGATGTATCTTTTTCAAGCACTTGCTATTAAACCCCTACTTTGCACAATCAAATAAGTTAGCAAAAGAAAATTGATGCAGACTGGAAAAGCTATTCTATTTAACACTGTTAGACAACAGCTAAATAGTTTATAGATCTTGTAGAAGCACTATCATAAAATAAAAGCAAAAAGAAAATCAGAAGTTTTATTTTTAGAAAGGTAGCTTGTGCATCAAAGGCAAATGTTAATCCTGAAGTTGGTCCAAAACACAACTGTGAGTAAGGAAATAAAGCAGAAAAAATCTTTACTTTGAGACTTGCTAAAGATGGGAAGAAATGTAAGCGTTCACTGTGAAATATTTTGCAAGTTAGCCAACCAATAATATTAAATACCTTCACCAAGATGAAAGTATCCAGATGCTAGTCATATGCAAAAATGGAGGCAAAGCATCAGCAGGCTCTGGATCTCAGTGGGTGCCTACATGAAGCTTGTGAGAATGGTGATGTGCTCTAAGGCGTGCGTGGGCAGGCCCATGTGATGACTACTGCAAGCAGTAACACCTGGTTCAATTAGCTGCTTAACTTTCTCTTTGTTCTGGTGCTCATTTTTACTGGGCTGATTTAAGCTGACAATGCTGAGGTTCCATCAGAGATGGAAACCAAGGCTCTTCCCAGGAACAAAGTATGAGGAAAGGAAGACTGTAACCTTCCTGAGGTCTGTCTGATCAAAGGCTCTCCTTTTTCCTGCGAGATGGCTTTTCAGGCTAGATCTTGGTCCATCCCTCTATGGCCCTGAAGACACAGGCATGCTGTGTTAGCCCATGAGATTGCAGCAGGGTGCTGCTATTGCACAAATAAGCAAAGAGCTTCTATACCAAGGGAGAGAATTCTGAATGTGATTTTTTTTTTTTTTTGGTCTAGATTTCTGTTCCTTCAATTT